TACACAATCTGAAACACAAATTAAAGCTCGAAGTAATTTACTATACTGATATCAAAAAAAAAAAAAAAAACCAAAAGCTCGTCGAAAAAATCATTTACAAGTTTTTATCAAATAAAATATCACGCATGGACTATAAAAAAAAAAATTGTGATCTGATTATTTTTATATTTTTTATCATACAAACAATTTTTAAATTTTTCTATATTTTTTAACGTTAAAAATTTAAAATTTAATATTATACTATAATCTTGTTTTATATAATTTTAATAATTTACTTAGAATACACTAAGATATTTTTAACCACACTTCTTTTTAGGCAGTCCTAAATCTGTATAAAGTGGGAAGGAATTTGTGTAAAAAAAAAACTGGAGTCGTTTAAGAATTTACCTGTTCGTAAGACCTTTTTTGACGAGAGCCGTTTGGAAATCGACCTTTATGTAAAACGGAAGCCGTTTAGAGAAACGGGAGCCGAATGATGGACTACCAACCCTCATTCGACTAATAAACGTTGATTTCCCAATGGACGCACGAACAAAATGTAATGTAAACAAAATTTAATTTTGCCGTTTAACCGTAAATAAAAATTAATGTTCGATCGTTATGGAATCTCGGAGACAAGTCGATTTATAAATTGTAATTTTTTTTTTCGTGCTCAACATGGTCACCAAAAAGTGTAAACATTCGGAAATAACAGTTACGGCCCATAATACTTGCCCGGAATAAAGCTCGTCACGTAATCGATACACGTTTATACGTGATCAACGTAATTGTTTATTTATTTATTTGTTTATTTTTTTTTTTTCGTATTGCTTTGAAAATATTTATTGTTTAATTATATATTAATTCATTTTTTCGATAAAACAACAGAAAGGGACCCAACTCCGGAGACCGCCTACAAGCGCCACGGCTGACTTTAACTTCGGCCTATTTTTATACTGCACACGTACGGGCGCATCGAACTGGTATAAATATTTAGCGAAAAGTGCCGCGCTAATATATTACACAGAACGTGGGTACAATCGTGGTAATAACTTCGGTACAGCGTGGGAAAGGATTATACCTGTACGAGCGCGATTCGAAATCGCGATCGATCAGCTGTTGAAACTAATGACCGTGTCGAAATCATACTGCGGCCACCCTTAGGCTCAGAACATCAACCCTACTAGCCCTCCCCTCCACGTCACCGCTCCCCGGCGGAAAGAAATCATTTGAATTTTCAGTCATCTGCGGCTCCCGTGCGAGAGCGCCTTCGACCCGTTTCGACCGCGTAGTGCGTCGGATCATGTTCCGTCAGATTATGTGCACGAGCAAACTATATAAGCGTACACGTGCACTGTGAACAGAATTTAGCGTGACCAAGCACACGTGAACATCGCCGAAAAGAGTAGTTATTTTTGATCATCTTGTTCCGCAAAACCTCGTAATTCTATTATTTTCTCTTGCATTTCGTTTATTTACATTGTTCCGTAAGAACCACCGTTATATTTGTTGCAACCGCGCGGTTCCCGATCACTCTGTAGATTTGTGCGTGGAGTGCCGCGATGAAATATTTATGCGACCATCGCACACGACGCGAAAACCCTCTCCGGACGCGTGATTACGTGCAACGATTCGCCCGGGCAAGAGGAATGTAAAGCAGAGCAAGAGGATTAGTACGGTCGAAGCTTCTCGGGACGTTTTCCGTGGGGAGGAGACGTATCTGAAGGCGACCCATTAGTGTTTGAATATTATAATATCGGTTCTTTTTAGAGACGAAACGTTCCGTTCCGGCCGAGGGGAAGTAATATTTAACGAACGCATAAGGTATGCATCGCAATACCGTAATCGCCCTCCGGGGTTTTTCTCTCGATTACGTCATTGGGCTTCGGTAAACATGCGTACGCGTACGAAGGAGGAAAAAATTACGTTTTAATTAGTGGCGAGTGTCGTTTTCAATTGTGTAACCAAACACCGACCCCGTTGTTAATCAAATAATACGTGCACCGTTGCGCATTATGTACGGTTATTTAGCGCGCGCGCGTTCGTATGTTTGTACAGTTATTTCAACATAACCTCTTTGCTTCTCCCCGCGACCGAAACGGGACGACGGCCCGGAAGGAGAACGACGACGGCGTTCTCCTGGGAGCGGCGCGGCAACGTAGATTATTTGACATTCGCTTGACGTCGACCGACCCTAAAAGTCGGGGAGTGCCGTGCGTTACGTGGGTGATCCAAAAACGATGCGGGTAACGGAGGAAACTAATATTCAAATGTCGACTAGGGGAGACGTTAGGAGGAAGGGTAGTAGAACGTGTGATTCGGGTACGAAAATTCTTACGCTGCGTATCGACTGCGAGTGCACATAAATAATAATTATGCGTGGTTATTAATACACGGTTGGAAAACAATTGCGTCGTACGAAATAATATAACAATGACGGATTGAAAACTAAAACCACACCACGTGGTTCGGAGTCTTGATACCCCGTAAACCGCACGCTTTTATGGGTGGTACTGGTTTGCGCACAAATACCAAAAAGACAACTTGTTTGGGAATAGTCGAGTCGTAATCATACACATGGTTTGCGCACAGTTACCTTTTGGACTTTAATAGTTTAATACCTTACATATTAATATTTCATTATTATTTAAGTACTTACATACATTTTCCTTCCCCCTTAACAGACTCAGGACTGTCTATGAATGTATTCATAGGTGTGGTTAAAAATGTATGTTAATTGCTTATTAATAATTGTAATAAATAATATTTAATACTTGTTCGAGTTAAAAATGCATGTTAATTTTAATTTTAATGTAATATGATTGGTATATGATAATATATACGTGTCTATTATTTTTTGCAATAAAAGTTTTCCATTATTTGAATGTATTTAATTTGGTCTATTTCGCCAGATGTATATTTTGTCCATAAATTTATGCGATGTTCAACTGATTCTATTGACTCCTTACGGCGATAATTATTTATATTTTTGTTGATTGATGTTCTTTTTAATTCTGTTTCGCTTTGTATTTTAAGAATTACGCTTATTACCTGGTGTATGTGGGAATGTGGAGTGTAAAATTGTTGGTGTATAGTTTATTTAAAACATACAAACCAATGTATTTTTTATTAGTACAACGAAAATAAGAATCACCACTCTTTAAAACACGATATTTAGTGAGTTTAAAATTATTTATACTAATACAAATATTTCCTCGTCGCGATTCAAAAACTTCACTAATTTCTAAATCCATGTTCAGTAAATATAGGTTAGAGTCACAGTAATTCTATATACGCACACTACAAGTTATTGAGACGTACTGTGTTAGGGCTATATTATATCGTTTGTATAACACTATGATAGCCGTAAACCACGCGACTAGCCGATACAGGCGTGACAAAAATATAATTATTTTCGTGTGCGCAAACGAGTTCCGATTTTTCAGGTAAAAATTATGAATTGTGTGCAAACAAGTTGCAGCCGCTTTTATTTGTTGAAACTTCTGTTTTAAAAAAAAAAAACCATGATACCAAATCCGCATTACTCCCTTGATTATTACTTGCTAGTGATCGTTTTTCTATCGGTAATATAAACATTGTAAACGTTACGCCACTAGAACTATTACAGTCAGTCGTCGGGTTTGATATTTTCGGCAGAAAAAACTAACAACTAAACCAAACTGACTTATATTATAAAATTGTAAGGAAGGTAATATACTGGTAATATACCACTAGGTATATATCAGAATTGTTTTCTTTGGCATTTAACCTAATAAGTTGGTACTGATGTTCAATTCATTTAACATTTACTAGTAAATACAATGCTTTATCTTCATTCGTGCGGGAGAAAGAATTTTTTATTTTTGTTTTCCCAACATTTTCTTAATTTAGATGCCTTGGTGGGAGTGGTATTTGTAGATCAGTGATTTCCAACCTTTTTTTCCTCGGTGGGCCACTTTGGTAAACTGTCGCGTCCTAACAATTATCTTAAAGCGGTCCATTAAATATACAAGTCCGAATAATATCAATATTAATCTAATAATGTTATTTTGTTACAAATAGTAGATATACAATATATACCTATGTAGGTGCATATTAATTTTATCAGTACGCTCTTTTAAGTGCACGGGTTATATCGTAAAATTTCTATTTGGAAATGTTCGAATATAAAATCACTAGATGTTTAAAAAAAAATCCTATTTTATAATAATTTTACTTTTTTATTTAATATTTTGTTTTATTTAAAAATTGAATATCTTCTCGGGTTGAGCACTACTATTGTAGATTAATTCGGTAGTCTTGCAGCATACTCTTCTCCCAATGATAGTAATGCCTTAGACGTATATGTCAATTTATATTAAGAAATATGTATTCGAATAACTTCCGTTTCTCTACGCATTGATCTTTCATGACACAATTCAATAGCTATTACTGGACAACTCCCCTTAGACGTAGTAGGTAATTTAAAAGGGTTAGGTAAGGTTAGGTTTAGGTACTTCGTAAATTGGTTTACAAAGTCGATGAGAATTATTTTTATAAAAAAAAATACTTTGGTCCTATTATTTTTTTTTTCCATCGCTTATACATTTCACTGTTAACAAGATATATGAATTGTTTAATAGAAACCAACGTTTTTGTTATATTTTTCACATTCTACGCTTTATTTAAGCTATTTTGTAGATATTTAATTTTCGAACTATTGTCGCCTTCAATTATTCGCATAAATTCAAAAATATCGTAACGAGTTTCCATAATTCAGATGCACCTACAAAACATATACTACAACTTTAAAAATGTATAATTCATGAATAAGGAATTACAGACAAAAATTATTTTTATCACTTTTTAGATTACAAAATTTAAAATAAATATCATTGTTTAAATGTTTTAAAAACAAGAGCAGCTCAGACCTAAAACATATGCTGAATCAATTCAATTATATCGTTATGAAATTCAATAATATAGATTTAAGTAGCAAAAATAGAAAAATGTCACTAAAATGTTCTAATAATACAGAGAAATCAATTGTTGGTAAATTTTTATTTTAATTATAGACCAATTATTGTATTCTGGTCCACTGTGAATCGGTTCTGATTAGACTGTTGTTATTACATCGATCGATTGTAGAGTGGAACAAAATTGAGAAAAAAAAAATGCAATTTTCGTGTTCGACGCGCACGCGTTACCAGTTAACGGAACGAAATACATTTTTAGCAACAACGAAACGTACGAACAATAAATACATCGTTAAATTGCCCGCGTATGTGTTTACACGTTCGTTGTGCAACGCATTAATCAACATTAATCAACCGACGATTAACGTCTGGGCTGCAAAGACGCTAAGTATATCCAAACAGACAGCACTTGATTCGGGTACGGATGGACGTAGACGGCGAGGGCGAATTCCACCAGCGGATTCTCGTTCAAATGCATGCCTGTAGATTTAATTGCATCAACCAGAACTTCGGTGTTGCTGTACGGTCTGTTGATGGGAAATCCGTTCATCTATATAATACACACGCACACACACACACACACACACACACAAAACGATTAAAAGTCGATTCACGAACAATTACATTGACGCGTATAAATAAATATAACACCTCCTCCACCTCCCCGCCGTTAGAGTTAATGATTTTAAGGAGAAAGTGTTTTAGAGTAAACTAATTTTATAGCGTTCCAGTTCTCGTAGGAGCAAGGGGATTGAACATACACTCCTACTGTGTTTTCAAAAATTGTTGCTACCTTTACTAATGGGATATGGTACGGCGGTTTTTTTCTTTTAAGGAGATTAAAAAAAACCTGGAAACGGTCTTTTTCTTCAGTTTACAATTTCCTGCAAACGTTATTCCCCATTCAAGCGTTGCTTAACGCGATACGAGTGTAATGTTATTGTTTATAGATCGAAAACGATAGTTGGCGCAACGATTTTAGCGTAATATTACAAAAATGTCCGCAAGACGTATCGAGTAAGTTAGTAGAAAAAGTGGTCAGTAGAAAAATAATTATTGTCAACACGATTTTCGAGTGCAATTTGTTACGATTATCAATGAACACGGGTGTTGCAACAGTTTTCGATTAATTGGAGAAATACATGAGACGTCGTGCGTAATGGCCCGCAGTAAACGTCTTGAATCACAACGGTTGACACGGTTGAAGCTAATGCAAAGAAGTGAAATGTATACGTTTTTCAAGTGTAAAAAAAAAGCTTGACTTTGCTTGTTCACCCCTCCCGCATTCCGAAAAACCCGTTTTCGGTAACGAAAACCGGACACACACATGTGAATTTTTCACTTTTTTCGAACCCCAGCGTTTCGTGCTGACCCGGCAGTACTGCAAACAAATACGATGAAACTTCCGTGCAACGAAGTCTCACCGGGAACAAATAGCATTCGTAGTATAGACGAATTGGTCAAACAGAATCATTTTGATTCACAATGATATGATCATTGTTCTCCACAATCGTTAAACAGAAAACGTCGTTACGTAGAAGTTCGTATGTACGGAAGTTTCACTGCATTCTAATCGTGACGCGAGCAAGCGTACCTTGTGGGACACGAGCAAGTGCTGTAACTCGGCCGGGTGACCGTTGTCAGCGGCGTTCTTGGTCCACGTCTCTCGCTCCAGACACGGCAGCACCTTCCGCAGCACAGTCACGCAATACCTGTTCCATACCGTCTTGGACTTGACCCGCCATCTCATCAGAGCGTTCCTCAGCGTGGTCTCCAGCTTCTCCTGCAGGACACGCGCGTCCGCGATCGCCGGCGGCGTGTAGTCCAACGCGTCCGGCTGCACGGAACCGGCCATGGGGGGCGCGGCTTGGTAACGGCCGAACGCCGGGTTCCAGTCCCGGTTCTGTGTCACGTCCCACCTAGTTCTGGTCACCGATTTCTCGTACTGCACGTTCAACCAAATCTGTTCAAAATCCAAACACGGTTCATGTTTTTTCATTCGGACCGTTGAAATCAACACCCGTCGAACGGAGAGGTAAAGTGAAACGGACGGTCTATTTTTTGTATTCGTTTTTGCATGTTACGCGCATACGGAAATCGTGATGACACATCGGTAACTCGATTCGTCTCAAGGTAGAAATCGAACCGAACCCTGGTGCGGTACATTCGAACGGTGTGGTACGGGTTTCGTTCGATTTCTGGATCGAAACTCGCGTAAAAATCGAAATATCGTAGAAAAAAAAAATTATCCAAATATACAGTATACTACGAACACAAACAAAGTTGTCCCCGTTAAAGTTAAAACGGGTCAGTTCGCTCAAACGTCAATGCTAACAGCACAACGCAGTGGTTCCGCTGAACGTATATAATCTACACGTTGATCGTTTTTAAGACGACGTAGGAGGTTAGCGGCATGCTTATTAAAAAAAAAAAAAAAAAACCAAAAAACGACGAAACGGGGGGGGGGGGGGGGGGGGAAACCAAAAAAAGGTACGGAGCAGATCGCGAGCGAAAAAAAATAATTGGAGAGGGGGGGGGGGGGAGGAGACGCGAAATGATTGGTTTACGTTTTCCACGTTGATCAAACAGTGCACTTCTTGTATGGGCGAAAAACTGTCGCACGTGGAGTACTTCTGACCGGTGAGCGGATCCCAGATGTCGTACACGGTGACGGCCGGGTTGTCCGGAAGCTGGCGGGACGTCAGCACGTAAGCGGCTTCGCCCCGGGACACGCCGGTGCCCAGCAGCAGCCACGACCGGACGTTCAGCTTCATGAAGTAACAGCACAGCAAGATGCCGTGGTCCACGCCCGAACCGCCGCCGAACAGCAGGCCCAACAGTTGCTGGAACAGTAGTACGCACAAGACATTAGTATTGATGTGCGACGTTGCGGGCGGGACGAGATCGCGCGTTGTTCCCCGAGGTAACACGCCCCCGTGAACGGCGATAGGGGTGACTGTGTTAGTGCGATCACGGTGTACGAATGTCGAGACCTGATTTCCGCGACGGTCCTTATGACACAATACGGGTCCGTAACTAATTAAATCGGTGTCGGACGTTCGGCTTTGCGCGACCTTATTTCGAATCTAGGACAAAATATCCTGTACTAAAATATCCAAGTCAACACGTCCAAGGTTGAAATATCCAACGGATAAAATATCGAGAGATAAAATATCCAATGTATAGGACAAAGTATCCAAATAAAAAAAATTATAAAAATCTGTACATCTGTACATAATTCATTTGTTTTTTTATTTAGGTAGGTGCATTGCTCATATTTAAATCAAAATTAATATTATTTAATATTTTATAATATAGTAATACAATAATATTAATAAAAATAAAACTATGTTACGTCGTAACGCACTACATAAAACTTAAGATATAATTATTATATAACACTACATATTACTATTATTATTTTATAACTGTATTAAAAAGTATTATTAACGTTAAATGTTACTAAAATGTGATCTAAAAACGAACAATAATGTATTTAAATAAAAAAAATTATAAAGGTATTAATAATACGGATTTTTATAATTTTTTTTTATTTGAATATTTTGTCCTATATATTGGTTATTTTATACCTGGATATTTTATCCGTTGGATATTTTAACCTTGGATATTTTGACTTTGATATTTTATTACAGGATATTTTGTCCCAATACCCATTATTTCACCGTACGACGCCGAAGAAATAATTCTTCCAGAAGTATCGGGGGTTTGACTGATTTTCGGAAGCCTGCAATTATTTTTTACGAACCCACCGTGGTTGGCGTGATTCGTAAACGTCTGAACGTTTGGTAAACGAGAAATATACGAAATAACGTCGTTTTATAGTAAACAATAATTAAAATTAAAGGGTTAAAAGTTTTGTTTTTTATTTTTTTCTACGTAAATATCGAACACCATTCGGCATTCGCATTCGACAGTGTTTCAAATGAACGTAAAAAAATCAAGTTCGAATAATGCCGAATTATTTATAAACTATTACTTGCCAAAATACTGACGTTGATCGTCCGAAAACTATCGTACTTCACCGTTACACGCGTATATAAAAAATAATTAAATTAATAAAAGCAACGAGCAAAAAATATTAAATCCTTTGCACTTATTATGTATTTATTTTAACAATCGATCAAACTTGTCTCTGATTTATGCGTCGGCCGTTGAATTATTAACGAACATTGAAATACATGCCTTGCACACGGTACGCGGTTTTGAGTAGGAAATCTCATCGCGTTAAACATTACGATCGTGAACAATTTTTAACGAGTCGCGCGTCTACGAGAATTCTCAGGAACGCTTTTACGCTGTCTTACACGTTATTCGAAACAAGTTATAACGATACGGGTGCAAGTCCATTGGCACTTGAAGGGGTTCGCGCACGGATGCGAGTCAACTTTGCGATATTCTGCTTTATTATTCCGTAGTAAAAACTTTGTACCAAACGCAATACGTAAAACTTTACACATTAAAGTATAAATATTTTTTGTCGGATAAAGTTATGTATCTACGGTACGAGATACGGTACAGGACCAATATTTCGACTGTCCCGGGGAAAAAGGTTATTTTTTTCCGATATTTTACTGCTGTAATTCACGCAAGGACAAACGGAGGGCTCCCGCAACCAGAATCGGTCGCGAAAGGGTTCGTGACGGTTTCAAAGGGAAACGAAATGAGACCAGTTTCTGGGCAACAACGGATTCGTGTTTCGTTCCGGACCCACGAACTGGTAAACCGGGGTGCTCGACACCGGTGTACATTCGACGCGTTGCCGTTCAAGACTTACGTCGCCGGTGAGCCAGACGTCGAAACGACCGATGAGCAGCACGTTGATGTTGACGGTGGGTACGAGCGACACGTATCTGGCGACCATTTCCGCGGTGGTGTTCGGCACGTCGTCGGAAATCGCTGCGAATAAAAAACATTTAAAAAAAATTAAAATAAAAAACGTACGGCCGCGCGGACCGCGTCGATAGAATGCCGCGTATAATGTCGTCTCGACCGTGTTGTTCTCACCCGGAAGCGGTAACGGCCTGAAGAATCTCGTCACGCAAACGGATTTCCCGCTGCAATGTATCACCAACGTTTTCACGGGCCTCCGGGGAAATTGCTTGGCTCCTTCCGCGCACCAGTACTCCAAGTACCGTTCGAAGTTCAACGATTCGCTGCAGTCCAACCTTTCCTGTAAACGTTCAAGGACGAGCGATTTTTATTTTCATCCGCGGAAATCCCTCGTCCGCGCCCTGGTTCCGATGAAAAATGAAACCGATCGCATACGCGCGCACGTACACAACTTTTAAATGTGTGCATGCAGTAGTAATAATTAACGACGATCGACGATCGGTAAAGGATGACGATAACGATCGCAATCACGGTTGTGCAGAAGTCGAAAAAAAATTGTGTTGCGCAGAACATTTTTTTTTTTTTTTCTTAATATTTTCCTGGTAGAACTGTCGTATGTGACAATCGTAACGTACAATCAACCGGTACATGCAACCGGGTTCGGACTCCCACTTTATACCATTCGTTCGAAATCTGGAAATATTTTACGGAGGAAGTTTACGGGAACTTTTTTTTTTTTTTGCGAAACACGGTTTTTAGTGGTACAATGAAAGTGCGTCCACGTTTGTCACTTTTACTGAAAACCGTCATAGATAATATTATAGTTGAAAATATAATTAACTTAGCTATAGCGGTTTTTTAATAATCAATATTCACGTACATTACAGCGGATGTGAATTTCAAAATTAATTCCTTACGTATTATAAAAGATATACTATCATCGACGCGATAAAATCGTGGTGCACACACAGTACGCGCCTAGAACGTGTTTTCGAGGAACTTCCACATCAAAATGGTTACTAAAACATTATCTTTTCAAATAAAATAACCATTACGTTAAATATTAGGATCGTGATCCTATGAAACGCAGAGATAATTACTTGATTATACTCAAACATTCGGCCACCGTTTTCGCAGTGACTTTCAGTAGATCGAAAAACCCTTAGAAACAAGGATTGCCATTAAAAAATTATTACATCTAAAACATTGATAGAATAAAAAATGAGTAACGTTTTTATTTTTCTACAAAAATGTAGTCTCGTAAAACTTTAAATTATTTAAAAAATAAATAAATGTTCGAAAACGTAAGATCAGACAGAAAAAATGGGCGTCTTACGTTATAAAAAATCACCTAATACCTGTACTCAAGCTCGATAAATTTTTAAAATAAAAACCTTCTCACAAAAATACTTCGAGAAACCTTAAATTATTTATGTTAGCAATCTACACTAAAACACTACGTATAAAACAATATTAGTTTAAAAATCGGAATATCTTGTACAATTATATCCTAAAAACTATGCATACAGTTATTTTAACTGTTTAGTTGGATGTTGTTAAAATGTTATTCACACGCACAATAATATTATCCAATTGTTTACGTTATACATTTTTACAGTCTTAATAAAAAAAATTAACATAAAATAAATAAAATAGTAGCTTTTCACAGTCTCTTAATATTATATCTTATTCGTTGTCAAATTTCGGAATTTGGTAACTTCATTGATTCTATAACTAAAACTTTTATAAAATGTCGTTTTTTTGTTTAATTATCATTGGTCTTTTCATTTTTGATAAATGTATGCATATTAAATGAAATTATCTAGCTAACCATTTTTGAAAAAATAAAATAAGAAACCGTATTAACTATGGTTTCAGGTTACAATTATTATTTAAGAAATCATTTTTCAATACTATTTGATGTGATTCAAAAGTGAAGTTCAATAGGTTCAATGTTTTGAAATTTTGAAATTATTTTTTATTCTCATAAAATTTGGATCATACAAAGTTATTTTAGTTTTTTTTTTTTCAACAGCTACTTGAAAATTCGATGATGGTAGCCTCTATCCAATATTTTTAAATTATATTCTTTTTTTTTAAAAAAAAAGAAATACACAGGGGTACAGGTGCACCTCCTTGTATCCACCTCACACCCATGAACATTGTATTAAGAAATTACCTACCTCAAGATGATTCATTAATGTAATAATATTTATTCAAATTATATGTAAAAGTTTCACCACCGAAAATAATATTTTCAAAAAATGTATATAGCAATACAGTGGTCAGAGAAATCATGATAATCTGACACATGTGGTACAATATACAGTACATGCGAATTATCGAAAAAACTAAATATTTAAACTGAAATTAAGAAAAAATTTAGTTTACTTTATTTCCATTGCACTTTGATTGAATTATAGAATTAATTTTAATATAATCATAATTTATTTATTACCTATATTAACTTTAGTATAGAGTTACATTGCCAGTAATTTAATTATTAAAATTAGTATTAAATTGATATTTATGGGAAATCCACAAATGCATAATAAGCATAATAATAAAGATACTACTTATGAAAAAAAACTCAAAATTTTAATAAAATGTATCACTAAATATATATATATTAGTAAAAATCTAATGGGTTCAATTATTTACATTCAAAGTGATATAGTTCATATCAATCTCAGATTATTGAAACTGAAATGTGAAAGAAAACCCAAATTATTAACACATTATTTGAATTCATTAATTCCCAAGTAATATAAGTTTATAAAAATAAAAATATAAAAAAATAAAATTGAAGTTTATCTTATGAAAATACGTTAAACCTTTATAAAAATAGTGTCATCTACCTTGATGGGTTCAGGAGGATGCAAAGGTGGCTGAGCCATAATGAACAAGCTCAGAAATGTTGAGTTTCTATAATGAGAGCTTTCAGAGTTTGATATAATTCTTTCGTATCCTAAAAGATGTCTAGGTGTGTTTAGTTGAAATGTTCCCTCGATCTGAAAAAAAATGATAACGACATTTAAAAACAATAATAATCAATATAATACTGAATGGCACACAAGCTGTAAGAGTACATTTTAATATTGAAACATATACTACACAAGGCATTTTCATAAGTATTTATACAAGATAGGTTCGATGGATATATTCTTGTATTAAAGAAAAGCAAGGCGTATTTTTTAAAACCACGAAAAAAACATGTTTCAATAATGTTATATATACTAAAAATTGTATCTTTAGTTCATAAATAATCAGTCAACTTGAATATAAAGTATAAACTGTAATTTATTTACGAAAATATTAACTTTTACAATAAATGCAGTTGATGGTACAGTTTCCGATATTATTAGTATTTTAATTAGTTATGGATATGGACGTACGACAAATGATTGGGAACTCTACTCAAAAATAAGGAGCTCAGCAGGAAATTGGATACATGATACATTCATGGCAATATCATTAATAGAATAAAATAATATATTTAGCCACATTTATTTATTAAATAATTAACTTAAAAAATAACTTAAACATTTTACATATTTCCTACATTGCAATAATTGATATACTCGTATAACTATTATTATACTACCTTTAAAAATCATTTCATAAACATGTTTTAATAAATTTAAAATTTCATACTAAAATCCTTAAATTGTTGCTAGACCAAGAAACATTAAAAACTAATGACAAACATACATAAAAAATGATTTATTATGTATTTAGTTAGACCCATTAAAAGTTCTCTTTACTAAAATGTAAAACTCCCAAATTCAATTAATGATAAAATTATGCAAACCATTCTTCTTTGACACAAATTTTAATTTAGGAGCAATAAACTGACTCTCATATTAAAAACAGGTATATTAATGGTATCAATAAAAAAAATTGGATTTTTTCATCACAAATGATCTAAAGCAGGGGTTCCCAACCTTTTTTTTCATCGAGTACCACCAGAGAATTTTATAATCAATACGCGTACCACCTCTATTTTAAAACTAAATTAAGAGTTAAATTTTTTTTAATGTATATTTTTATTATTTATTAATTTCTTAACTTTTTTTACTATTTAACATTTAGAAAAGTAAAAAAATTTTAACTTTTAGTTAAATCTTAATATTTAAATTAGAATTTTTATGATAATTAAATTTTACGTACAAATTATATTTAAAATAAAAGTCTTGTAAAATAAAACACTACTTAACTACAGATCGTTTTACATAGGACGTATAGTGACACATTAAAATAATTCATTGACATATATTATCCAATAATCGTTATTGCCAGTTGAGTGGCCATAACCATATTATATAAAATATAATATAAATAACTCCAACGTAAAGACTATAAGTATACACTTTGTCGATAATGTTATAGAAATTATCATCATCTAAAATACTAAAATCTAAATTATTACAAACCCCATGTTATTAATATTTATAACATTAGCTAATATCAAATAAACTTAACTAAATAATATTGAATGAAAAGAGTAAAAAAAAAATTATATCAAAAAATGTCTTCGTGTACCACCTACGAGCCTTCCACGTACCAGGAGTTGGGAACCCCTGATCTAAAGCATCTTCAAAAATATTATATATTATAATAATTATAACAATATTATGAGCAGGGGTGAAATTACAATAAAGAAATGAGGGCATTTTAAACCCCTCTATCTTTTTCATGTTCCTTAATGGTTACAGACACCCGCAACCCGTACAATTCAACAATCACTAAAATATTTATTAAATATTTAAATAATTCTATATTTAAATTAATAATTTTGATTTTATATTTTTATTGCACGTATAACGTAATAACCGTCTGCATACACAAATATTTCATCGCATGATCAGTTTTAAGTTCTGAGTGAAGCAAAGGATCTTATGGTTTTACAATGATGTTATTTTTTTTTTTGTAAACTTTTTTTTTTAGGATAGAAATACTGGTCTAAAAGTTTCATACAGTAACTTTTTACATTCAAAATTGGCATGTGAGGGTACTCTAGAGAGGTTATTTTTCCAAAATGTCAATAGTTTTTCCTGACGTGAGGAAATCTGCTAAAAAACCAAGTAAGAACGGTAAAAATGCGCTGTACATTTTTCTGATTTTAGTTATTTAGTCAAAACTTCAAAAGTATTGTGGTTAGAAACATGAAACTTCTATCCTATGTCAAAGACATTTTTTTTATACATTTAACAACAATTGCAAAAAAGAAGTTAAGCATTTTTGGTTTAAATATTGAATTTTGAAAATACCTAATTTTTTGAAAGTTTTTATGTAATAACACTTTAATTATTAGATATTAAGACTTGCAAATTTAATATAACCGTACTCATATCCTTACCTAAAGATACTAAAAAAATTTTAAAAAAACTGTTAGCCAGGATTTTATTTTATAAGCGCAGGCCCAGTTCAAAGGTTAAGAAACATAGACCCATGCCTAGGGCGACATGTAACATTTTTATACTATAAATAATTTTTAAAAAAAAAGATTAAAATTTCTAGTACCTACATATCAAATTATATTTAGTAAAAAATTAGACTCTATAAATTGTTCTGTTTTATTTAAATCAGTAGTGATATACTTATCTAAAAATTTATTGATCTAATTGATTGATAACTTTACATAAATAAAAATAATGAACACAGAATTAAGTCTATTTTAGTATTTTTTGTGAAAAAAATAAATAAAATATTTGATAAAATATTCACAAGAGACCCAAAATTTAATTTTGCATAGGTGTGATTAAACATTTAAGCTGGGCCTAAATAAGTGTTTAAAGAAATTATTATACGATTTTTACTGTTTTTAAATACATTTTCAACATTCTATGTTTATTAAAAAAAATTGATCCATCTACTGATATAATAACATATAATAAAATATAATATGAAACTTTGGAAACGGTTAGAACAACATAATTTGAATATTAAGTGAAAAAACATTTTCTTTCGTCAAACAAGAAACAGAAAAAAAAATAGGAACTTACCGACAGTTAGACTAAGATTAGTAAAATATATAAACGGTAAACTTTTATACTGAAGCATTGTTTAGAATCTTTTAACTAAATAAATGAGTTAAAATTTGTTTAAAACTTTTTACACCCATTACCATTGTATAGTTCGGAAACTGAAGGGATGAAGGACAAAATTTCCATCATCATTATTTAAATTTAAATTAACATAGAAAAAAAGGTTGCTAATTTTAAAATTGAGGGTGTACCCAAGCCCCCATATTGCACCTATGATTAAAATCAGTTTTAAGTATGATAATTACATTTTAGATAATTTTTTAACTCAAAATAATAAATATTTTTTTATTTTTTTTATAGTCTAGCAATTAGACACAAAATAAGTATTAAATATAAAAAGAAAAAAACATGATTAGAAATTAGAGTTGTACCTTATTTCAAATAATAGTGCAAATACATTTATCTGGGGTCGTTGAGATGAGTCATATGTTAAGATACTGATATTTAAAGCAAATATCTATATACCAGCTTAAAATAATATAATTATTTATAAAGTATTGTAGAATATCAATGGTTTTTATTTAAGTATAAAACAATTAGATGCCTTGAGGGCCAACATGAAGGTGTTTCCTAACCATAGGAAGCAATGGGTAAGATCATGTTCAGCTTGCAAAAAGATTTAAGTTTTCATTAAATTTCACCTAAATGGTGAATCACTTATAGATTTTTTCTCTTAGCTTCCGGTTACTATTCATTTTGAGCTATACATATAATGTGTCACTTCATATTAAAAATAATCCATTATTATCAAAATTAGATCTATTCAAGATGAAAAACGTAAAACACTAGTGGTCTCAAACAACATTTAAAGTACTGAGTAAAGACTAATATATAACAAGTTTTTATAGGTATAAGATAATCAGTTAAGCAAAACAATGAATGGTTTTTTCCCAACATAACATTAAATAAAGTAATATTCCTATATATATTCACTGACTTGAGAACTGTTGAATAATGCTGATATGGGTATAACACAGCTACCCAACCAGTGTCTCTCTAAACGTTGATGTATGTTTGTTTCCCGAGTTCTATCATCTTCTAATATATCGATTACTACTTCATCATACATATTTATATGTATGCAATCGTCAATAGATTGAACTTCATTGGGACAAAAATCAACAGAATTTGATCTGTAAGAAAAAATTGATTACATTATTATACATAGCAAAAATTGATCCTGACACATATTATTATTTATTTGTATTATAAGTCCTTAAATTAATAGTACTTTAAGCTAAAAAAATTGACTATAAACAATAATTAAAAATTGTTTTCGTTGAATAATGATCCTTAAGAGCATACAACATATTAAGACAGATATTTGTTGTCATACATTTCCATTAATAAATAAATAAACCAAATTAATGGACCATTTAGCAGAACATTGTGCAGAGAAAATTTGCCTAAAATCAAATGTGTGAATAATGAACATGAACAATAATAATACTACAAAATAAAATCTATTTTAATAAAATTAAGTTATAATATTAATTTGTTCAATGCTAACAAAATAATAGAAAATATACTCATATTATATAACATACTGAGGCGTTTTATCCATGAATTTCATATTTACAGTTAAAATTAATAAAAATGTATTCTTAATAAGCAGAGCTAGGATTTGTATGCAATTAAAAATTGTAAAATATACATTTTATTTACCAAAATATGCAAAAATATGCATTTAAATTTTTATTAGATAAACACAAAAATATAGTTAAAAAAAAAAAATTTGTTTATTGAAATACATCAGTGGTTGGATTTTTTTCTTAACCATACAATGCATGATTTTTTTATTTTTATTTTTTAATTTTTTTTGAGTTGTTATATTAGTCATAATGAAGGGGAAATTACTAAAAAAATTTTTGGTAATTTAAGTCTCTAAAAAACCATTTTTTTAGTTTGTTGCCTGTGAGCAACGTTATGTATTTACATACAACATAATTATTTATTAAATTTATAAATGTAATTTATTCATATACCTATCTTGAAAAGTTATATCGTTTATTCATTAACTATAAATATAAGAAAATAATTGATTGACTTATCAATTACAAAACAAAGTATACATTTTTTAAAAGGTAACTTAATATAATATAATTGAAAAATAAAATAAAACAAAAATAATTTAAAATAAATTTTATGTTCGACAAAAAGAACTAAGTTTTATACTTTAATCAGTAGGTCTAGAATTAAATACGAAATATTAATTACAAAATGTACTAAAAACATCAATTTTTCGCATTTTTATAATCAAAATATGAAATAATATTCATTTTATTCAATATATGCAATAACATGCATTTTATCTAAAATATACAAAAACATGCAAAATAAAAATACCACCATGTATCTCATCATGAGGTGATTAGTGAACATTACTGACAAATTCAATAATCAGAAGTCGCAAAAAAAAACATGCTGTTGCATACAAATCCTAGCCCTCTTAATAAGTATTAACTAGCGAAAAAGGATTTTCTGCAAAACATGAGTATTCAATGTAAAACAATTATAATAATGTAGATAAGTATAATATGCTCTTAAGAATTAATAGCTAAAAATATATTTTAACTGACTATTTGAAGTGAATATATTATGTTATAATTTGAAAGGAATCAATTAATTGAACACTTAATTAATTATGGGCTGAAACAAAATTCTATTATTACGATAATATTTGATAATGCTTGACCTAACAGTTAATTGTAAATCTTGATTCCATGTTGGATTAGAACCTTCAGCGGTGGTGGTTCTACTCGTATGATTCTTGAAAGATATTTCTATGAATGGTTGAACTGGAACCATAGCTATGTCTCCCATCATCATGTCGGAATTTTTTCTTACAGGTACTTCAAAAGCTCTCATTACATTTATAACAACCTTTAAAAAAATATAAACATAAATAGTGTTCATGGTAAATAATATTAAAATAATAGTTTACTTTGATTTCTTGTCCTGATAAGCTTTTGACAGGTATTTTTTTTCTTTCTTTTCTTTTAGGACGTAAAGGACGCTTTGGTTGAAACATTTTCATGAATGTCAAACCTAAAGTCCTTTAAACAATAAAAATACAGTTTGTAGTTAACATTAATTCATGATACAACTGAGTGCTTCGACAAATTATTTTATTTTTTTGTAGGTATATTTCTACTTAATGAACACCCTAAATTTTAGAATATTTTTTTGTTGGTTTTATGTATTTTTCAACTTTGAATACAATGGTGCAAACGAAAATTGGTACTGATCATTAGTTTTGTAGTTATAGTCATTTAAAGTTGACAGTTTTGTTTAAATAGTCCATGTTTAAATTTGTACTGTGGAGCAATGGATAACATGGTTCTTACAAGTACTGAATTCAAATTACTAGAATTACAAAACTGTGTACAATATTACGTAAATTATTATATTTGTTGCATTTTATTTTTTTGTCCTGTGACCTACTTGGGGTGGTGTTGCATAGCAAATCGAGAGATATTTTTGTTTTTAACTGTCCATGCGAGTGACCCCGTCTGATTTTGAGATCCATCCAAAACCTTTTGTTTTTATTCTGTGATCTATTTGAGGTGGTGTTGTCTTAATATAAAATATTAAGGTTTTTCAGGTTTTAAAGTTATCGTTTAAAAAAAAAAAAAAGTGCAAAAATGTATTTAACCAGTGAAGGGTCAAATGAATGGGGCTTGATCATGAATTTTGTGGTTCACTGAACTACCTAAAAGTTTGGAGTGGGTGTCATTTTAATAGGTAGGTACTTGGTCTTGGCAACTGGCATTGGTAAGCAATATAAAGTTGGTAATTTAATAGATATTAGGTAAATTTTTGTACCTAATATGACTTTTTGGTAGGTGGGTAGGTGATATTAACTATGCTTGAATCATCAACTGAAAAATGTCAAACCCGCTTTTGTAATCAAACTCAGTTACATAGATACATAATCGACATTACTACCACTGCATAATGCTATTAAATGTTTTTATTGATAATCAGTATTTAAGGGATTTAGTATAAAATTATAAGCTTTAATTAACTATAACTTCGAAATTAAGTTCTTACATCAAATTCTAATTTCATCATCATTTTTTCACCCAAAATATGAGTTTCCCAAAATAATTGTCAAAATTAAGCGTGCTCCATGTTCCTTTTTGTATTACGAGATAATATTGAAATATGAGTATACATACCCAATATCTGGAACAGTGTCTTCAACAATAATATCTCTAGTTATTTTATTCCTGTTGCCTAATTTACATTGTTTAAGAATTTTATCGTAGAGTCTAATAACTGAATAACGGCCCCAGATCCTACTGGTTTCCAAAGGTCCAAGACCAGCAACTTCCAAGGCAAGCTCAGAAGTTGACAAACGATTTTCAAATTCCTAAAAAAAATGAAACCACTGTTAAATTTACAAAATTAGTTTTTCAATATTTTAAAATGTGATTGATTGAATGTACTGCTTTAAAGCCAGACATGACATAACTGATGGTAAAATCTGATGAGTGATGAGTTTTTAATACTGAAATTAGTATTTCTAAAATGCATTTGCTGAACAACCCTCTAAGATATAATATCAAACAGTGAATGCTTTAAATTTAATGATAATGCGTTTGTCTAACAATAGATTAAATAAAAATTAGTTAGATTTATTAATATAATAATGTTTATTACATATAAAATTATGAAAAATGTATGTTTAAAAATGTTCTACATCCACTTTATACATTGGTTTTCTAGAAGGTAACACACACTACAGATTAAGACACTGATTTATATTTTATACTTACTTAACAAAAATAACTTATAATTAACTTACATTAAAAATATTTTTTGGTATAAGCCATTCCTTTAGAGGAACAGCTTTGGCCATTCTAAATTCTATTTCTCCTCGGTCACGTAGCTTTAATAATTTTAGTCTAGGATTAGAGTTTAATTCTTCATCCGAGCAAAATTCCAACATTTTTTTATAAATATTAACACTAAACTTAGTCTTCATAATAGAAACCATTTTCTCATCAACATTCTACAACAATTATTATAAAATTAAATTTTAAAAATATCTACCAGATGTTACAACTCTAATACTTTCAAAGCTTCAAAAAACGATGCATTATTCGGGTCATTAGGATCTGGGTGCATATCATTCATCCAGTTTAAATACTTCTCTGTTTTAGTAGATAGAATATTATTGGTACTAAAATGAAACGTTTTGGTATTAATATACATTCTAATGATCTAAGCTAATATAAATCACATACTTTTGAGGATAGAGTCTGTTAAAGTAATCCTCAGGTGGACATAAAATTTTATCACCAAAAGTACCCCAACCGACCTTACATAACACTTCACCAGAAGTGTAAAGACAATGAACCTCCGTATCCTCTGGGAACACCTTGAAATCCACACCACTACCAACACCAGCATTTTGAACAATCTGATTGCCAAAACAGCTGAATTCCAAGTTTTCAATGTCGACGACATCCAAAGTAGTATTGCTAAAGTAAGGAATATGTGTTGAATTACATTATCATTCTGTAATGATTGGACAATCTATACCATAAAGGAAAAGGTATGTAAAGTTCAGCTATTGGATTTTTTGTAAACAAATTTTTTGAATTTAAATTTTCACAGTGTATATTCAAAGACAATGTATCTGGCCACTGATGGACTTCGACGACAAATTTCTGATTAACATCGACTGAGAAACTGTCATCTAGTGGTAAAAATGCTGATTCGCATACAATACGACCATTGAACATAATGTCAAACCAGATTGAATGTTTTGACAATGCCAACCTCCGTTGAAGTTCTCTACAATAAAATAAAAATAAATCACATATTTTACATACATATTAAATTACTAATTAAAGTAAATTTAAATTACTCTTTGGCAGTTATTTGTTCAACTGGAGTAGGTTCAATTTTTGACAAGATAAATTTAATTATTGGCTCTCCTGGTGATCTCAACGACTCTGATAGCATACTACATGCCTGGTCTCTGACTTCAGGAATATTGGTTTCAATATTTTTCTCTTTCATTTCTTCAAGTGTTTCTTCAACAAGGCTAAATCGTCATACAGTTAAGATATGTTAAACAAGATTTTTTTCAACTTATACTTATTGAATTCAGATTCCCATTCTTCGGTATTATCCTTGTCATCAACAATAATTTCCAATTTTGTATTCGTAATTATATATTCTTGTCTTTCTCTCAATTTTTTCAAATCTCTCCAAGTTGCCAGTATATTAGATATTAAAGTGCGATCTGCTTTGCCTTCTAGTAACCTCTGAACTCGAGTTTCTTTTATTTCTGTTTTATATCTGAATAAAATTAATTTATTTGAAAATAATAAATTTTAAAGCTAATCTTTCAAACTTACCTATGTAAACGATTTTTATGGTTTTCTAACAATTCATTATCATTTTCCTCAGCCATCACTTTAATCACAGTATCTCTGGCATTTCTCAATGCTTCCAATCTACCAGATAGCATTTTTGTTCTGGAAATATTTTGACGATACTCATACTTATCATAAAGTAATAATAATTGCTTGTCCAGAACATGCTGTCGACTAAACAAAGCGTGATGACTGAACTGAATTTTCGATATTTTTAATTCCAAAATAAATTTAATATCTTTAATGTCTTGATAAAAGCTATTGAAACTGTAGGGATTCTTAAACGGCATTGCCTATTCACCGGGTAAGTCATTAGAATAATTGTGAAATTATAATAATATTTATCATCATAAATACTTACATTGGTGTACTTAATATCTAAGTATCTATTGTTTTCAGTAGAGTCTGATAATTTACAGCAAAATGGACCAATCAAAGGATCAGGTAATCTAATTGGTTCACCATCTTCCCCAAACCAGTGACTGGAAAATAAAACAACGTTAAATTACAGCAATTTCAAAACACTTCTAATCATATTATGATTTTTTACAATTCATTAGCTTTAAGCAGCCTATGTTGAAGCTTGTTGAGACATTTTTTACTGACTGGAGGATGTGTACCAACATACAATCCTTCTTTTTCTGGATATCGTGGCTGTCTCGAATTTAGTCGTTTGGCAAGATCCACTATGATAAAAAAGACTTGACATTAATTATAATCCGTATCACATAAAAGATATGATATACCTTGAGATCCATCCGGAACAAAATACATTTTTTCACTTGCTTCTTTAATTTTAATAGATGTGTCCAAAAATGGTACAATATTAAGATCAATAACATCAATGTCTTCTCCATCAGCTAGTCCTAAATAGTCTTCTGTAACTAATTTTTTATTTTCATCGTTATGAACACCAATTTCTGCATCTATAAAATCATATGAAGAACCATAACTAGATGTTATTTAAATCTTTAAATGTGTTTACAATAATAGAATTAATCATAAATAATAAACGAATGAAAAATAATTTTTTCAGAAATATACCACTAGATTCGGCCGACTGTTTTTGAACTTCTAGTGTTGTAGAAGGGGGATCCCAAACTTTAGTAAAAAAATTGTAACTCTCAATTTCGTGCTCAACCTTTATACAATAAAATAAAATAATCATAATCAATTAATGACAAAATCTCAGTGAGTATAGGTATACATATTTTATGGACAATATATTTTAAGTAGGGATTAAAATTATTATTAAATCTATGATTTTGATTAATAAAATATAAAATAAAAAAGCAGATGTAAAAGCTTAATGTGAGAATGCATGTGTTTATGAAGTGATTCGGTTAAGTCCATGCTTCATAAAGTACACCTGTCTAAGACAGGTGAGGAAATGCAGGTGCTGTATTGCAGGAACTATGGTTGAAAGATAAGAATGAAACGGCCCGTGAAAGAAACTTCAGTTGATAGTAAAACTAACAATAAAATTTAAATGCAATAATTAAACGGCATTATTATAATTAGAAAAACTATTTTTTATCTGTTTAACTAAAAATCAGTTATAAATTCATACATAATACATTAAGATTTCTCACTCATTTTTACTTTTTTTTTTTGCTATTCGTGTACATAAACAAAACCAGTGCAAGTGTTGAAGCTACCTGAGTACAGAAACTAAAAATATACAAATAAATTATTAACTATAAGGTCAGTTAAAACATAAATGTATGACTCCTTTTTCAAATAATATACCTCATTTATGTTATTTGTGATCAAATTTTTACTTTGCTTATCCTTTTCATGTTTTTCTAAAGCAGCTGCAACTACTTCATTCTCTGAATTCATCTGTCAACAGAAGTAAATATATATTTTCATAAAAACATTTATAGATTTTTATAAACTAGTCAAATGTTATAGAAACTGATAATACATTCACTGTTAATTCTTTTAAGAAATGTTTCATCTAATGAAGATTTAAAGTAATTAATATTATAAACCACCAGACATTAATTTAAAAAAAAATCAATAATTTTATTAAGAAAATGTTTTAAAAAAAATGATTTGATTATTTTACTTTGGTAATAATAGTATATCATTACAGAAATCTATATCATATAAAAATTTAAAAAAAAAAATAATAAATAAATTTGTACTAAAATAATCTTTAGTTTTATAACTTGATAAGTTAATAAAAAGTAGTAGAATCTTCAATAGTTACTGATATGAGTACTTATAAAAATTATATAAAACATTTTTTTGAATAATAAAAAAATTGAAAAATAATTGTATACATTTTGGCCATCATTTATTTCAAAATATATATTTGGGATTTATTTATTTTGATTGCTAATTAACATCAGTAGTAATCAAAGGCATATAATATTGTATATCTTATCAAATATCTAACTGAAATTATATTATTTTTTACTTAGCACAACATAATTTAATTACCGGTCTTCTGAGGAAATTTCTGAGGAAAAAAAGTTCCATAATAAACTTCTAAAGAGGCAGTAAATTCAATCATTTCTGATTAAATAATGATTGTACTCAATTTTATTTTAATATGAAAGATTTGCAGAACATGTAAAGACACCGGAATTGAAAAAGTTTGAGAATTTCTGATTTAAATTATTGTATATAACATATGGGCATATGTTGTATTCAAATGCACGGCATTACAATTTATTAAAACAAATAGATTTTCAGGCATAAAACAAATTTAACACAATAAATGTAAACATACAAGTTGTGCTAGACGTTCAGCAGGCTGTTTAACATTTGGTTGTACTTTAGATTTAGTCTGTTCGATAACTACCGTGTTTGAGGCTCTTTCCTGAAAAACAATTTGACAGTAAGCACTTGTGTAATAATAAAAAAAACCGTCCAACCCACCTTAACTTGATTAACATGTTCTCTAAGACGGTCCTTGAATGAACGTACTTCCGACTGCGATGTACAAGTGCTAGACATTCCATCTATCGACGGTCTACGGCTACCCATCACACTGACTGGACTCATACCCTGATAAAATAAGATTTATTAAATTATAAAACAAAATAATAGAAATAATACGGCAGGTATTGTTTTGGACATCAAAGGGTACCAGCTCGATGGCGGAGTTTAACGTGTGTTCGGATGGCTCTGGCGTTCCAGGACAATCTAATACTTCTAAATCGTCGTCTTCCATTTTCAAAAGGATAATATCAAACGATCAAGCGACGTGAAACATCAACGCTAATCCACTGACAGACCACAGAACCAAACGACCGACGAAAGCGAGATTAATTTGTGCAATAATATACGCAAAAATGTCTATTGGCGAACCAAGGGATGTAGAAAACTAACACTGGCTTGAAAAGACAATAATCGGTAAATATTTTGTTTTCGAAACGATCTCCATGGATACACGGACGGACGAAAACATTCGAACATCATTGAGATAACACGTTATCAGCTAATGTTTTCTTATCTCAAACGTTTTTCCATTTTCATTTGAACGATAACGTTTTCACCAGGCGTGTAATATTCTTGTTGTTTATTATATTATGTTTATTATGATTTTTCTTTCAATTTTTCTTAGTATAAAATATAATTAGGCACAACAATCTCGCGGATCACGCGAACGTTAGGCGTGGAAAACATTCTACTACCGGATCCGACTGTTAGGATTGCTATTCGAAGTAGATACAGCCTACCAGTGGCGTGACGAACTCAAACGTTTTCAGAGGCAAGTTTATTTTGTCGATACCCACCCACCCAACAAAAAAAAAACATGCTAAAACAGCTGGAATTTTTTAGATGGCGGGTGACATAATCAGTGCTAGTTTTATTATTGTTATTGTTGTGTTAAAGACATGTTCTATAACATTATTGTTAGATAGTGACTACTCGTCGTTCGTGGATGTACAACACTTGCTGTTCGATTATGATTTTTTAACGAGTGGGCGGGTACCCCATGGGTAGGGCTTACCCTGGTGATGTAAAAATGGTTCGGCGCCACTGCCCGCCATGCAGCATTTGATGTACCTGAATGTCGAATCCATGTCGACTGTGACTGGACTCAACTGGACTGCACACGCTGAACCGCTCGAGGTTCGTGGGCAAATCGAAATCTTCAGGCCCCGTTGTACATATTTGAGCTTTTGACCTTTTGAGGCCTCACAATGTGAACAATGCACACTCAACACCCGGTTTCTATGGCACTAACCGCGCACGCTAACAAATTCGCATATTATCTTATTCTGTGCACGTCAGGTACACCGCAGGCGAAATTTTTAATTTCTATATGTTATTTCAATTGTATCGGTTTATCGATCAATGATAGTTTAAAGTTATAATTCCAACAAAACGACGTTAGAATTTCTTAGTAGACGCTTAAGAAAATTTGTAATCATATATTCATATAAATGTACTATGAGGTGATGATGATTTTTTTTATAATATGAAGATCGTATTTTCTTTTCCTTTTGATAACCCAGTGTCACGGTTGTATATTGATGATTTCACTCGCCCAAAAGTTTTTACGGTGACTCGACGACACCGGTGTAAGATTTCAAGCGATTTCATTAATAATGGCTGAGACGTTTTTTCGAAAACGTGTGTTCGTGAGCCACGCATTTAAATCCAACAAGTCGAAAAGCAGTGGAGGGAGAGTTATGGGTTCAAACCTCCTCCCGAAATATCAGAAATATATCACTCGATCTACAAATTTAATGTTTATTTCAAATTTGTCCATGATATTTGCAAATAATATATATACATAGCAGTGACGTAGCCATGATTTTTAAATGGGGGGGGGGGCTAACTACTTTTTTGGATAAGTAAGGTAAGAGAGGATATGAGAATTCAGCATAACCCCCCCCATCACCATCTACCACCAAGTTTCTAAACGTAATTCAAGCATTTTAGTATAGTTTTAAAAATATTTATTAATATATAATTTATAATAATAATAATATTAATTTTGGTTTCAGTGTTCAGTCACTTGCTCCACTCTGACAGCTGCATCATCTTAGGCGAATTTCTGGCAAATTCAGTTATTATTTCACTTTCGTCGAATTGCTCTTTTTTATTTATATTAGCCATAGCTAACCCATTCAGTCTGTTTTCCGACATGGTGCTTCTTAAAAAAATTTTTAAGCGATTAAGTGTTGAAAACATTCTTTTCGGAGTGAAAGAGGTAACTGGTAACGTGGCGAATAATTATAAAAGTATTTTAATGTTAGGTCGAAAATTGGTGTGATGAGAGAGTGAATCAAGAGCAGAATTCGGTTTTGGAATAGTATTTTGACTCCATTTTTATCTCCATACGAACAGGTTAGCTCTGATTGTAGATGAGGTATCATAATGGAGATCTTGGACATATATTTTAGCAGTTTTTATAATATTTTTATCGTCATACATATTTAAATTGGCCGGAATAAGTCCTTCAAGTGGCATAACATCAATAAGCCTTTGATTAAAACGAGCATCCATTGATTCTATTAAATAGTCAAGATACATTATACATATAAACACGGCCCATGGGGGGCTATAGCCCCCTTAGCCCCCCCCCTTGGCTACGCCACTGATACATAGGTATATTTATCAACATTATATATTTTTTCAACCACCTTAATTTTTTTTTCTGCGTTCGTCCCTGGATTCCAATAATATAGTATTACTCGCAGGTCTGACGAGATGGTGAGTGGGGAGGTGTAATTTACCCGCAAACCATCATTGTTAAAAGAGCCTGAATATCGGCGATTGACAAAGTTGATGATATACAATCGTTCAGTAACGTGTGAGATCTCAAGGTGTACTAGTATATCCATGTCTAGATTTCTCTCTCCGAGGTCCTGATTACTCTATTGGGCATAAACCCGTGGACACGGGAGGAAATGGAAGGGCATTGCTCCCTGAACTTTAGAAGACTATACTATTTTTTCTAATGTCTCTCCTTAAAATTTGGTTTGTCCCACCTAATGATTTGGTCCGGGTAGACAAATCATGTTTAGGCGTATAACAATGTTTTTATTAAAACTATTCTTTCATTTTTTTTTTTTTTTTTATACGAGCCATGTTCGATACTTATGTAATATTTTCATATTTAAACAACCATTCTTTTAAATTTCAATAAATATGTATTATGCACACGAGGTAGAATTAACCTTTGTTACAATGTTATCGGAATATTTGATTTTCAGTATCATAAATATTTCAACACTTGACTTTTTAACGAATTTTCTTCACGACGTTACATCTTGATGCTTATCAACTTCCTGTCTCACTCACTCACTGTACCCTGCCGCCGACAATAAACCTTTACCCACGGACTTGACCAACCGCGGTGCGTGTCGAGTGCTTACCGCACACGCTGCATCAATGTATTATAGAATAACTCGGTCCAGCGATCGAACTCTCGATTAATATCATCTTCGTGGTATTACAACAATGGCATTAGGTGTACAATAGTATTATGTAATATGATAAAGTGGCGGGTACGCGATATTTCGACGACGACGATTACGACCTACGACGAAATTACCGACTGAAATCTGCGATCGGAATCCGTGATTGTATTATTATAAACATAATAATGTTGTACGTCAGTTTGAATAATAATCGGTATCGCCTTACAATGGCTCTTGTACAGCGGTGGCGCGACGACAACGGAGATTTGTCGATACCTACGCCCGGCGCTATTGTAACACAAGGAATACGGTCTGCGCTTCGTGTCCGTGAAGATTGTAGGACCCCCTCCCCCGTAAGGCCCACATTGCACAATATGCAATTATAATATACTGATCGTCACTTGGAGCTTATCCCTTTATATATTTATATATAAGTCCAAGTCGGCGAGAACACCGAGGATTCTTGTTATAAATAAAAGTGATTTGATTTTTTATCGAAAATTAAATCCATACTTTTAGAACATGATAATCTAACTGATCCCGATTATTTCAGCTGTCATCATTATATGACTTGGTATACGTAACACAAACGATAAATAATTATTTTTTATTTCACCGCTGCAATGAAAATCCATCTCGGGATCACGGGTGATTTTAAGGGGGTGGCTAAGGGGGCATTACCCCCCCCCCCCTTGGGATTATCTATTTTATAAAGCAAAGTATTATTACATATTAATAATTATAATAAAATATCGTCAATGGCCATTGATGAATATGGTACCTATTTTATATATTTTTTTTATAAATAAATAGCTCACTTTTGTTGTTAATTATGTGTATTTACCTATATTTTAAAATGGTTTCAGATTAAATTTGATACCAATAATGTAACTATTTAAACTTTATTATTATTGTGAAAAAAATGACTTACTTATAAGGGACTCAAAAACATATCCTGTGATTTAAAATTTTTCTATAGATTTAAAAAATCGACTAAATTCTTAAGCCTCCATTAGCCCCTCCCTTGGTTAGTGATAAAACCCACCCCTGCTTGGGATGACTTTTTGGACTTTGTTTGACAACAAATGTTATCATAAATATCGTAACTAGTTAAAAACAATTCAATATTATTTACGTCTGTTTTTTTTCTACCAATTTTAACTGTTTCATGGATCTATTGATTTATTTTTATTTTATCTTTTTACATTTTTATCCCTTTACCTAAATTATTTTGTATTAATTGTTAATCGTGTAGCGCTTAAGATCTTGAATGTCATACGAAATAATAATATGTCCGTATGTAACGGAATATAAATTGTTTTGGCTGTATACACACATGACTCCGGCTAGTGCAGTTTCATTGTAATTTAATTTCTGTGTTTTGAAGAGCATTCCGTATTTTAATATAGCTGGTCTTGAGGCCGCCGAATTTCATGTTACGCTCCGTTGGACGTCTTGCAGCTGTGGTTAGAAATGAAGTCAAGACCAAATCGCGTACATTATAATAATGTACGGAATAATATTTCATTTCAACTCGGCCGGACAAACAAAAACTGAATTGGCCGGAGCCGTATTTCTTCACGCGGAATGAACACGTGCGTGCAACAAATGCGAAAATATAATGTAGACATGTTGAAGGTCTAAATACAAATGCACAGTGCTGCAAATACAAAATAGGAGACTCGTATGCGGTAATTATATTAAGCCCCTTCCTATGATTTATTTTTGTTGTACCTACGTCTTATTTATAAGTATCAATTTTTTTAGGTTTTAAAACACGTTTCACATCAGTTTATGATATATGTATATATATATATATATATATATATATATATATATATATATATATATATATCAAATTAAATACCTACAACTGTTGTATATTATACTTCACTACACGAATTCAAACAGCTAACATTTCTGCAAAAATGTTTGCCGATGGTAATGCGCCACCTAATTGTTTCGGAGTTAAAATTATTCTTTTACTATTTTTCTTCTTTTTTGCTAATAATATTTAACCATTACATTTACGTTTGTAACC